AAATTGGGCGCCATGCCAGTTTGGCAGGAATTGGGCCGCGGGCCCCAGCAAAAATCTGTGTTGGGAAAGAGGGGCTCAGCTCAGACTTACTGGTGGTTTGAACCAGCAGTGCCAATAATACCCTTCCTTCAAAATTTGTGTCCTTGCACAAGAAGGCCATGCTTTGACTGTACCACCCTGGGCACAGTTGGGCTTGCTAACCACCAATAGATGGAGCCTCACCACCAATAGGAGCAGTAGCCGTACAGCTCCTGACTGGGTCACACTGGGAAAGGGTCCCGCTTGCACCAAGCGCTTGTTTCTCGCTATTGGTACTTGGTAATCTATGGTCCAGAATGGAGCATATGCGCAGGTGGGGCCTCAGTCAGGAGCTGTATGTTACTCACAGAGAAAGTGGAACACTGTGTATACTATTGTCTCACTGGTGAGTGGTGGAAGAAGGCATAGTGTTGTCAACTTGTCAGAGAGAGAAAACAAACAAGGAAAATTGGAATTTAATGATTGTGGGATGCACCCCGTCTCTGCGCTTTTTTGCATCAGTCTTCCCCCGAATACAATGCACGGTCATTGTAGGTGAATTTAGACTGATATATGTACAGAATTCGGCAATAATGACCGTACGTTGTATTGGGGGGAAGACTGTAGGCTGTTTTGCCGGGCCGTCCGTGCACCCAACGTGTGCCCGACACATACCCGGATGCCCGGCTGGGCATGAACCCCAGGGATGGTTCCCGGCAGCCCCAGCACAAAAAAAAACACACAGGTAAGCTACGCGGGAGTCACAAAAACAGTTTGAAAATACACTTCGGGTCAAAATGAGTTTCAAATTGCACTTCGGGCAATATACAAGCCAGCTTCCAGTCAGGTACGGTGGCCGAAGTGCAATTTGAAACTCGTTTTGGCCCGAACTGTAATTTCAAACTGTTTTTGTGACTCCCGCGTAGTTACCCCAAAAAACAAAAACAAAAACAAATCAAAAATTTCTAGGAAAAACAAATGTCATGTAGAATTGCAATATAAACGACTTTTGGCTGAGGGTCATATTAGAATTCCTCACAGATTTTTGCCTGCATGGGGTGCCCCATGCAGGCGACCCCCGGGCGACTTGCCGGGGGTGCATGGCCGGGTGAGCCAAGTGGCCTATCTTTTTTGTCTTTTTTCTTTTCTTGTTGTTGTTGATAATAGTCAACAGGGTGTACCTACCTCAGACATTCAGATATGAGCCCGCGCCTTATGTAGGTGCCGACAGGTTGACGGCTCCAGTCTTATTCGTGAGGAGCAACACGTGCTGGGAACCAGACCCAGCGTCCCTTGTAGACAACACACACTATAGTCTTTGTTGTGATTGTCGACTCCTTAGATGCCCTTCTCCTGTGACCTGCTGCTCCTGAGCCCCTGTAGCAAGGGGGTCACTGTTTGCCTGCTGCTCAATGATCATGGTGTATGGAATCTATGGATACTAGATAACTTGTTCTGGCTTCGCCGAGAAACAAAACAGGAGGTTCGAGGACATTCGTGGCAGTTGGTCATGCACCAAAAGACTGTTCTTTTGCTCCAAGAAAAGAAAAGACGCAAAAGTTGAAAAGGCACAAGTGGACGCATGAGGGTTTTGCAACTTTTGCTTTTGCTGGACCCCTTTTTTTTTTCTGCAGTACAACTCAGATGTCAGCAGGCAGGAGGGCTGACATCCCCAAGCCCTGCCGCGAAGGTGAGTGTTCCTCTGCCGTATGCCCTATCGCTGCAGACCTCCACTCTCGCCAGTCCTCCTCTCCGCACTAAGTGCTACTGCCCTACACTAAAACACTCACTCCCAGCACTACTCTCCACATCCCTGGTGGCGAATAGAACACTCGCCAGTCCTCCTCTCCGCACTAAGTGCTACTGCCGTATGCTAACACACTCACTCCCAGCACTACTCTCCATCATTCGTGGTGGCGAATAGAACAAAGCTAACTCTCCATGCTAGGCTTGACCAGCCTCTCCCCTATCCGGCAGTCCTCGGCCGCCAGATCTAATTTGATCTGATGGTTCAGGAGAGTCGCCGAAGTCCTGGTCCAGAGGCTGAGGCCAGAAAACCTGTGGCCTGGGTCTTTCCTCTATCCGGTGATCCTCCTGGGGTGTTGGGTTTAATTCAATCTGATTCTCCAGGAGGGTGGCCTAAGTCCTGGTTCAGAGGGCAAACCCCAGAAAACGGGTGGCTTGGGTCTCTATCAGCTGTCCAGGCCCATCTGCTGTCTCAGCAGCTACACCTGGGCTTGCCTAGAACGGAGAATGGTTGGACCAGGCACTCTCGGACAAACAAAGGGTCCAGAGACTCCAGTCATAACGTGGACAAAGTCTCAATGATGTCCTACAGCCAAAATGTGAGAACCAGGCCTACCAGACCTCAAGAAGTCCGAAATGACACCATCCTGCCCTGAAAGAATGTACGAAGGGCAAAAGGATCTGCCCGCACTCTATGACCGCTCGAAAATGGGTTGCACGCAGCTCTAACACACAGCTCTAATGCCTGTAGTCGAGTTCGCCCTGCTAAGGCCCAGATGGGAGGCCTGTGCATGCCACACCAGCTGTTGCATACTGTAACGGTGCAGACCAGAACAAGAACCAACCTCTCAATACAAAGTACAAGATAGCGTAGCGGAAGACTTAGATACCAATGATCCGAACAATCAATATTGCAATGCAGCCCAGAACATACATCATCATCATCATCTCCATGGTGTGAAGGGGTCTGGCGCTCACACAGGAAGAAGGCGCC